AACTTTTGTATTTTAAACTAATGGAGGTGGGGTTTGGTTTTGCCCTTTGGTCTCAAAGAGAGGGCTTAGTTTAATCCTGTAATTTTTTTTATGAAACATTTAATTTTTTTTTATAAAAGCAAAATGCCCTTTAGTTTTTGGATTAAATGGTTTGTAAAAGAGGTTGAAAACCATGGGAGAAAGAAATCCTAATTTAAGCCCTTGAACTTATATGAAATAAATAATTAGACCCTCGTATAGGTTTGTTGTTTAATTAAGCCCCCTAGTAGCTAGTTCCTTTTCCCTGATTGGCGTTGATTTCACTTGAAGTACTTGTCTTGCTTATAAGGGGGCACCAATTAATATCAGCGACTGCTACACAAATCTTTTATCCTTTTGTTAGGGAATGCACAAGATCAATGCTATTTTTTATGAGAGTTGACAACTAAGACTACCAAATAGTTCATGAACTACTTATAAGTTATTACAAGTTCAATTAAGTTTAATTTTGACCTAATAAGTTTAATGAACTCAAACTCAAGTATTTAGGTATTTAATCCATACATTCTTCAATAGCTCAATTAGAATAAAAAATAAATCAATAAATTAATAAATATGTTTGAGTTCAAAAACTGTTACAATCAAATAAATATATGAATTAGGTTCAAGTTTGATTCTTTCAAACTCGACTCAAAATCAATTCATACAAGTCAAGTTCGAACTCAAGTATCTTATTACTCATCTCAACTTACTTGACTTGTTTATAATCTTATTGATGACACACGTTAGTTAAGAGTAATTTTTTCAATGCTCCCCTAAGGTACCACAAACTTGGACCCAACATTTGGACCTCTCACAGTCTAACAAAATTCAGTGCAAGGATTTAATTGCTTGTTTCATTAAATTAAAAGGGCTTAAATTTTTGAAATAGCAATTTTCAAAAAAAATATAAAATATTAAATAACAGACTATTAGAAAAACATAAAAGACAGTTGGCAATTGTCGTGGAAGGTTGAAGCCCAGCTGGGATCCCCACAGCACATGGGCCAGGCTTTCGATTTCTACACGCTTTTGCTGACCGTCTGACGTACCTAATTTAGCTTCTTTTTCTTTTTTTTTTCCATTTCTCATTTTCAATTTTTTTATTAATTAATTTAGAGTTTGATGTTCAGTCCAAACTTGTACGCTAAAAATATAATTTAGGTATTAAAATTATAAAATTATTATTAATAAATAAATATATAAAAG